TGACTCTCATCCAATCAACGATGTTGTAACAAAAGCATATTTGATGCAAATTGAAGGGTCGTCGTACCATCCAATCTCCGGCGTCAATTCACTTAGTTTTTTGCGCTGTGACAGGCTTCACAATTATTCACTGAAAAACATCGGCATATTTTAACCATGGAGCTTCATGTTTTGACAATCGGATGGGATTTGACCTCAGTTCAAAAAAAGAAAAAAAAACAGGGCTGAGATACAAATCAGTTTTGTAAGTTGGGAAATAAGGTAAACCAGACTGGGGTCGACGATTTTCAGTTTCGAAGGACTTCCGTGTGAATCATGATTTTCAAATTGTTCATCGACTGGTCACCAAATACGTCTATGCTGATCGTGACTTAATTTTGAAAATTGGATGTCAAATTTTACCAAAGACCGACGCCATCACAACCATCCAATCATAGGTGGAAATGTACGCACTTGTTTTGGAACTTTGCGAACAGCGTACGTGTGTTTTGCATGTATTAGTAGTCCGGGCATGGGATCGGTTCTCTTACCAGCAAATAAAATGAGTGAAAAAAAGGTAATTTTTTAACAAGAACAGTTTCATTTCGTATATAGCAAATTTTGTTGTATCCGAACGACGATTGCATGCCGTGTGTGATTTAAATTTATCACAATTTTCCTTGCAGCAAATACGACACTCGTCACCTTGCCGATTGTAATGTACTTCACAAAGTTGTTGGTGTCCAATACTCGCAACACTAAAATAATTCAACAAGATATCTTTTTAGTAAAATGTCATTTTACTCTTGATCATAAGTATTATTTTATTCTCCTTACTGCCTTGAATTTCAAATCGATTATACATGTATATCGAACTTTTTTACATGTTTTTTCCTCTACTGTGTGCAAATAATGAGGTCATACTCATGTCACAATACTTTGAAGCTGATGCCATGTTGATGCTATGAGACTGCGAACCTGAGGCCACGATGATGCCACAAAATAAGCGAGGCGAGCACAGCTTCTACACGTCTTCCCCTCGGCTACCGGGCATCCCCCCAAAAAGGATGCTTAATAACCGAGCTTATTACGTGCAGAGAACATGAAACCCGTCCACGCGATCCGCGCCACACAGCGTGGCCAGAATGCGGCAAAGGCCTTCATATCTGGCTGTAGTAGAATGGTGAAAGTAATGGTACAGCATTGTAACAGTGAATTAGTACTGAGAAATAATTTTAAACTCATAGTTGCTGTCGACATAGGAAGTAAAGTAAGCAAATAACACCGAATAAACGGCAAGGTAAAGACTATGTCTAATTATAGTAAACACGTACTGCGTGCGTGACTCGAACCGGCGCTCGCGTACGGCACCTAATCGCCTAGCTTCACGCCACTACACGTCTTCCCCTCGGCCACCGGGAGAGGGGGGCGTGGCCCGGTTTTGGAATATCATTGACTGTTTACCCAATTTATATACCCTTTTCACTTGATTTTTTTTCATAATGTTGTTTATAAATAAATTTTGCACACAAAAAAGTCAATTGGCCCAATTCAGTTACACTTTAAGAGGCAGTACAATGTACGAAATTACCCTTTCCCATTATAGCCGTTGGGGGCAACATGTATTTATAGGTGGCTGTAAATGTCAACCAGGAATGGGGACCCATCCAAATGACATCATGCAGAAATCTCCTTTTTTTGTAGAAACAAAAATTCATTCGACGGTGCGTACAGTTGTGCGGGTCTCAACTATTATTATTTCATCGAAGTTTTATGTGGAGGTTACGATCTGAGTTACAGCGCCCTCGCCGATGCATTCATCTGCAAACTAGAAAGTGAGATCATTTCAGGAAGCGGGAATCTCCGAGCAATCGCGATTTGAATGTTTTTCTAAAACAGCTTGTCAACTACTTTCTTTCGCACATGGGGGGGGGGTATTTGTTTAAATATTGGAGGTTTGCAAAGAGTAAAAACGTCCTACCTAAATATTTGTTTAAGTAATATACAGCACCGGTGTTGAGGAACGGTGTATACAGGTGCTCCCAGCATGTTAGATATGATAACATCTACAAAACGGGTAAAAAAGAGTTTCCAATTCAACGTTACAAAAATGACAGCATAATTTATCATTCGTCGTACATAACGCAGACGACTGATACCAGCCACCTGACTTCTCCCGAAGTGTAATAGCGCCACCATACACAGACAAAGATGGGAGCCATTCAGCAACATTTTTGCAATTACTTGAGGATTTTGGTTTACTATACCCCGGGAAAATGTTCTATGTTCTTCGTATAATTTGGTGTTCGTATGCAAGATATTTTTCCACACCAAAAACAACGAATTTGGTCAAATTTTGTTAGCGTTTGGCTTTATCTTTTCCAAACCACAGTTACTAAAACCATGGAACTATAAACCATAAACTATAGTTCCATGCTAAAACCGTGCCCAAGCGAAGGAAAGTCTTTTCAATTTACCCCTATCAACCCCCCAGTGCTCCCCATATTCCCCTCCTAATGACACCCACAGTTATCCAGAGGGGATATACAATTGAATTGGGGCTGTGAGGGTTAGAATTGGGGTGGGGTGGGTGTACAAAATGAACTCTTTAAAATGTCGTGGGAGTGATGCTTTAAAAATATGGGAATGCAGTTACTGACCCTAAAACTCAAGTACATACAGACGTTACATGTTTTTCTTTGCTCTTTCAATTATGTCTGGAATTTTTCTATAAATATTTATGTTGTACCTTTTCCTGTACAGTTTTTTTTCTTCTTCAAAATTTTCTCTGTACGTTTTTATTTTTTCTTCAGTTTGCGCAGGCTCCTCGGCTTAAGAACGACACGCTTACTCAATGCTCACGGTTACCGGTTAGTAACCCAAGCCAAAGAGAATATGCTAATTAGGATGCAATTACAATGTATTGACATTCACTGCTAATGATGTCCTTGCCAGTATCTCCCTACAATGGACCGGGTCTTTTACAAAATGACGCGTAAAACCACAGACCTTCGTACCCCAGTCCCTCTATGAAATGAAACAAACAAAGAATGTACATGGTGCCGTTGAATCAGTTGTTCATGTTGGCGGAACTACTCTATAACACTTTTTTCGAGGTATAACTTAATTAGGGGAACCAAATTATTTACGAATTATGTAGCGGTGAATTTTATTTAGCTGGAAAATAATACTTGGAATTGTGTGTATATCTCATTTTAACGAGTTCAGTTTTTCCAGAAAGTTGTTCCACGGGGTTGAACATAATTTACTGTTAATCGGACCCATTTGTAACCCCTCAGAATAATAGTTCGTTCCCACAGCTGCAAAAAGTTGAACACACGCGGCAAACAAATGTAAACAATGCGTGTGTATGTACATGCTGTCACAAAATAGAAAACTTAATACAAAATTATACACCAGAGCCTTAATCATTTTAGTAACAATGTGTTAGTAACCGCGGTCGAAGAAAACATATATGAAGGGAAACTGAGTAAAAAAATAAATAAGTAAAGCATTTAATTTGGGTGGGGAAACAACACGCGGCAAAAAGACTGAGCTGCCAGAGTTCATGGCCGATTTAATTTTTCCCGGGAATTTTACATCATACGGGATTGGTCAATTTCGTCCTAGACCATGAATAGTGTATCTAACCGAACATTTTAATTTGTAATCCTACATGAAAATAGTCAACTATTCAACATAATGTTTATAGTGTCCCTCCAAACAAAGAAACCACAAAATTCTACGATCTCAGTCTGAAAATATTTGCGAAGACCCGTTGTTAGTGTTACAACACACAAAGCACTGAGATCAATTTGGCGATGTTATTTACAGACTATCCCCCACTGGAAACGCTGTGTTATTACAGTGAATGGTTGATCTTGTTGGTATTTCCAGGGGAGAACTACTCAATAGATTGAATGCTGAGTGAACACACCCTAAGAATGCCCGATATACATTTGTAAAAGGTTTTCTGATTGGCTTAACCGGCAGTATTATATTTTACATACTCTTGCTATCCAATGAAGGAGCTCGTTTTATCAACAACTTCGGCCCGAGGAGGTTATAGAGCGAGATTTTAGCCAATCAATGCATTCCATGTCCAGAGCGCCAAGTCCGAAAACTTGTTGTCCATTCCTTTGCTAGGTCTTCCAACTAGTAGACGTGTTATAGTTCAGTTCCTGTTCATTTTCTTTGTACTTTAGAATTTCTCAAGTTTTACCATGTTGTCTGCACGTTCCCCAAAAAGCACCCAGGGATTCAAGGAGCAAGAATTGTCCAGACGTATGAACGATTCGTGCAAGATTGCTGATCAAGAAAACCAGGTACAGTATTTTTGCCGGGACTTCATTGACCTCTAGAAATGTATTTTTGCTTACCGGGTCTCGAGTTGGATGGATCTTTTTTCACGAGACACTGTAAAATCTCAACGCAACATCTCTCCACAAAAAATAAACCATTATAAGAAATACTTTTCCGCCTGGCCGTGAGCTTTCGTGAACGTTCGTGCTTTTGACAGGCGCGCCAAAACCCGGGCCAGACTAAAATGGCACAACCACAATACATGTAGCGGCGTAAAATTAATGCCCCTGAATAAGATCTTGTTAAAATTCATTCTTCGTAAATCATCTTCTAAACTTTGTGCCCATACTATCAAAGTGCACAGACTGTAGGATGCTAAATCAATACTTTTTTTGCACGAAGATTGAAATCAACACCACCAGTGATCCACCAACATTCATTGTTTTTTTTGTTTCAGATTCCAAGTTCCCGTATTCTTGCCAAGAAAACCGCTAACAAAATATTATCAGACAGTCAAACACAGGTACAAATGTTTATAAATATATAAACATTCTTCTATCGTTTTTTTAATGGTTAACTGCTTCAGCACAAACTTTGGCGCTAAAAATTTCCCGGGAAAACAGCTGTTCGCTGTAATGAATATTCATGCGCGTCATCGCATTCCATAGGCTTCCATGAGGCTCTAATATAAGTCTTTTTATTTCGTTTTCACAGAATATTAAACAGATTATTACAGATGTTGAACCAGTAAGTATTTTATTTGTGCATTCAATGTCAATTAGTTGGTTAAATACCAATTTCATTGTGCTTTGTTGAAATTGTTTATTGTGGAAATAGATTACCAGTAGTTACATTTTTTTTTTTCTCCCAAGGTGAAACTTGAAAAAAGAAAGTCAAAACCTCAGGTAAATTTTATTATAAAACTTATTGTTTCAATTTTTGAATCTATGGACAAAATTATTTTTTTATTCTAACTTGGATTTTCTATTGTACTTAATTTGAATTGTAATTTGTTTTTGCAGAATAATGAAGATGAACCGCTGCTTCGTGACAATCCTCGTCGTTTTGTAATTTTTCCAATAAAGTACCACGACATCTGGCAGATGTACAAGAAAGCAGAAGCTTCGTTCTGGACTGCTGAGGAAGTGGACCTTTCAAAAGACTTGGCTCATTGGGCCAGCCTCAAGGACGATGAGAGGCATTTTATTTCGCATGTTTTAGCATTCTTTGCTGCCAGTGATGGGATTGTCAATGAAAATTTGGTGAGTATCATAGCAACAATATAATTTCCAAGACATTCCGCTAAAAATAAAATTTTGGCCATGTTGGCTAAATACTAATTGTTTTTTTTATCCAATTAACATTTGTAAATGACTTGGCAAATAAGATGCAAAAAGTCGTACTAATACTTTTTGGATTCCTCTTGTAAGTTGAAAATGTTGTTCCATTAACTTTCCAGTGGGTGATCATTTTGATCGGATGTGGTCAATTGAATTGCCAATAACTTGCGTGTCTGACTATACCATTTAGGTGTGGGGAGGTGGCTGCGGGAATGGGTGGTTGAGTGTTCAAAGAAGGGGAGGAGCTAGCTTGCGTTAATCACTGCTGTTCACACTCAAGTACTAATCATTTACTTTTATCTCTCTTTCAGGGCAAACGCTTGCAAAAAAAATATGTTTATTTAGACAAATAATGTGTGTGATTATGTGTCATTTATTTACGGTATATCCCTTCTTGGAGGATGTTTTGGCCCTGAAAAGGGCAGTTTTGTTTGGGTTTTTTGTTTAAATGCCGTACCGAAATGGTTTTAATTTAGAATGCTGTACCGAAATGGTTTGTGTACCACTACTGCTTTCCATAGGTTTAACTAACCGCGTCTTGTGATCCTTTGTCGTTGGTAATTAACATAAAATGGCGGGCTTTTTGTAAGTCTGCGTCCACTACTGTCGCCCTGGGAATTCGACTTTTTTCAGATGCGTGTTTGTGTACCGCTACTGCTTTCCTTGGGCTTCGGTTTCCCTCTGAATTAAATTGTGTTAGTTAAATATGTGTTTGTGTACCACTACTGCTTTCCTTAGGCTTCAGTTATTTCCTATCTCTGATCTTTATTTTTAAACCTAGAAGCAGCCTATCTCTGATCTTTATTTTTAAACCTAGAAGCAGCCTATCTCTGATCTTTATTTTTAAACCTAAAAGCAGCCTGTAAAATAAAGCAAAGACAGCATGTTACTAATTGGCCTGTCAATCAACCACATCAAGCTAACTATCCCACAGCCACCTCCCCCACACCTAAATGTTATAGTCCGACACTCAAGTTATTGGCAATTCAATTGACCACATTGGATCATTTTATTTAATTTAGATGATTCATGGTTTATAATTAGTCTTGACTTAAATAGCACATGGTGTCTGTCTCCGAACCCAATTCATTAAACTAGTATTGTATGTAGGATAGTAACACTACATTTTATTAATTCATTGCAGGTTGAGCGATTTAGTCAAGAAATACAAGTTACAGAAGCGCGTTGTTTTTATGGGTTCCAAATAGCAATAGAAAACATTCATTCAGAGATGTACAGTCTTTTGATTGATACATATATCCGGGATCCACAGGAAAGGTGAGTAGTAACTGCAGTTAAGTCGCTATTTTTGAAATCGTGGTTGAATTCAATAATTTTAGTGCTTGAAGCCAGCCATACTCGTTATAAAATGTCTTTTGCAGAATTTTGCCTACCTCTTTTAAACCAAAGATTTTTGGCCAGTGTTTAATTACTATTTGAGTATCAAAACCTTTCTTTCCATTTGTTGCAGGGAATATTTGTTCAATGCTATTGAAACTTTACCACCAGTGAAAAGGAAGGCACAGTGGGCATTGAACTGGATCAATGCTGACAATGCCACCTATGGTGAACGGGTTGTGGCATTCGCTGCTGTTGAAGGGATCTTTTTCTCTGGCTCGTTTGCTTCAATTTTCTGGTTGAAAAAAAGGGGTCTGATGCCTGGTTTGACCTTCTCTAATGAACTTATCAGCAGGGATGAGGTATGTAATTGCATTATAGTTATTGTAATAGTCTCTAACGTAGCAGTAACTCTCAGAATTCTAACCTTGACAAACCCTTCATCTAATAATTTAATATGCATAACATTATCTATTACCAGGGTATATAATCTGAATTCAGCAATAAGATATTCCCTGTGATTTTGACTCTTTGCAAATGGCCACTGTACCCGTTGATCTGCACAACGGTCAAAGTTGCCATCTTTGTTTAAAAGCGACCCATATATTGCGCACATGTTAGCACGATATCGACTACCACCCTTCAAACATCAATTGTTTTCAATCAGCAGAATAAAATGAAGGTGAAACTTTTTTTGAAGAGGGAATTGTTTAACCCAGACATTTTTTGAGGTTTATGCAATTTTTTAAACTGATTGTTATTTTGACAGGGTTTACATTGCGACTTTGCCTGTTTGATGTTCAGTCACCTTACAAATAAACCATCACAGCAGAGAATAATTGAAATTATCAGAGATGCCGTTAAGATTGAACAAGAATTTCTAACTGATGCCCTACCGGTGTCACTGATTGGAATGAACAAAGATCTCATGAAACAGTACATAGAGTTTGTTGCGGACAGACTTCTACTTGACCTTGGTTGCAATAAGGTATGCAATTGACTTTGCATTGCTTTTACATGTAATGTACAATGTGAATCGTTTCAGTCTTTTCTGATAGCTTTGAAACTGACAAATATTGCCAGTACAGTTGTCTAAATTTTGTTCCCAAAATACTTGTACTCAAATTTTTGGCTGTCATCTTGGACAACAATGTGAAGTTGATGGCTCAGCCATTCGTCAACAATTCACTTTTTCATCTTGAAAATTGCCTGCTCAATTGCTTGCTTTGATACAGTATGTAGGTACCTTGGATGGACCTGTCAGATTTGTTAATTTACGAGCATCTTAAATACTCAAATAGGAGGGAGGGGGGTCAAATATTGTGGACTTGTTTTTAAAGACTGCTGCTACAATTATTATTTTAATGATTGACATGTTTACCTTGGATGGTCCATCAGATGTGACATTGGTGAAACACTCAAAGCTATGCTATAATATAGCAGATCTGTTGGAACATTGTGCCTTTTGCAAATAAATAAAACTCCACATTTTCCTGGTCTGTTAACCAAAACTTGGTAAGGTTGAATATATTGTGGTTCACTAATTTAAAATTGCAATGTTTGATTTCAGATTTACAATAAAGAAAATCCCTTTGACTTCATGGAAAACATTTCACTTGAAGGAAAGACAAACTTTTTTGAAAAACGTGTTGGAGAATATCAGAAGATGGGAGTAATGTCATCACCCTGCGATAACAAATTCACACTAGAGGCTGATTTCTGAAGTGTGTACTCGCGTTATCTTCCATCTAAACATTCAGCAGTGCATCATGCTACATTAGGTGCTTTCAAACTCACCTCAGCATTGATAACTTCCAAAGACATTTTGCTCACTATTTTATTTTAATGATTTGGACGTTAACACTTCCCTGAAATGACAAACTACTATGCATTTGGATTTCTGTGCTGATTTCCGGTTCGCTGTATCGTGCAACATGGAATTCAATCTGTATGTCTGGTTACATCATTCGATCTGGCTATATAAATCTGTACATGGAATAGCAATATCGTATTTTTAAAGCTTTAGCAAGTATATTTTAGTCTATTGACTTTATTATATGGAGACCTAGCTTCGGTGTATTTGCTTTTTAATGTGTATAGTTTTTGTATTGCTTTTAACTGTTAGTATGTTGAAGGAAGTATTGTAGAATTGATTGAATTTTAACGTTTCTTTGAACATGTATTATCTTAAAGTGTATTTAATTATAAAAAGAACAATTTTACATAAACTGCTTTAGTGCTTTTTAATTGACATACATTTTTTACTCCAGTTAAATGCAAAGTTGCAACGCATTGGCCTTTATCTGACTTTTTTTACATCCCAAAGAATCTGTAACAATGCAGTCTAGTAAAAGTTCTCTAAATGAAATGGGTCCACCGCCAACAGAAATTAGTTACATTGGGGGTTTAGCGAACTGCACTTTACCAGAATTACTTGTGCATCTCAAGACGATGCCGGCGAGATTCAAGAACAGTTTTGTCAAAACCTAAGCAGTTAACCACTTTGCTAGTAAGTTTGCAATACTTCAGAGACTGGCTGTAAATTTATTGCCTGTGTTTTGTTAGGATGCGTATGAAAATTTTGTTAAAATAGCATTCTACTAACTGCAAAAAAAAAAGGAAGGTAGAACATGTGACCATTAATAGTAACGTGTAAGCACACTTTTTTTAAGCTTCTTTATCCAGCGGAGCTTACGAGTGATTGTCGGCAGTGTTGACTACTTTTTCGACTTCTTGAAAACTATAAGCCTGAATGCTTTGATACTTGGGGTAGACTTAGATTTGTTCATTTTGTGATATCTTCAATTCTCTAATTTTGAATATTTTTGATATTTTCAACTTGTTGAAAACAGCACGTCTCATTGCTTTGATATTATATATAGGTACTACATGTAGACAACCCCCTAATTTGTTCATTCTGTGATATCTTCAATTCTCTAATTTGGATGAATATGTCGTTTTTGGGAAAAAGTGAATTCTTGTTGAAAACAAGTTCGATTGCTTAAATTGCAATGTGCATTGCTAACTGCTCAGCTGACAGGCTGCTTGTTTTGAAAACTAATCGTCCTATGTTCTAAATATCCCCACGCAACTTTAAATTTACAGTGTGGCTACTCATGCAATTGAGGTAGTTTTAAGACCATTAAAAAGAAGCTTCAAAATCAATCAAGTTAAGGTAATTTGAGAATTCTGAAATAAAAATGTGATTGCCAAAGTTTTCCTTAAAATTACATTTTTTACTCAAACTTTAACAAATTCATTTCAGTAATAATTAGTTCCTATGGCAAAACATAACATCCTGTCTCAAATTTTCTATCTTGGTTGAAAAATTATATATGGATGATTGGCTTGTATCATGTGAATTGGCACAATTTTTAAATGATTTACCGTGATTGACTATTTTGACGCAGAGAACTGCCTTGACAGAACCAGTTTTTGTACTAAACTGGAAGTGATAAAATGAGAACTACTCATTTGATATTCACACACTTCTAATTGTGAATGTTACTGGTAGGTTATAGAAACTGTCCTGGGTATTGCCAGTAAAATGCTTTTAAAATTGTAGCTGGACTCTAAATCATGGGAGATGCGTTTCTGTAACTACCTCCACATGTCGTCTTCTTACTTGGTGGTTATTCCCAGAGATGACTGTACAACACAATAGTGTGGTTCAACTATTATTTTACCTCGACTCTGCCATTGAAGTAATAAAATATGTTCAGATCAAGTACTTGGCTGCACGTTTTAGTGACAACTCCCATGCATAATGCATATATTTCAGCTTCGGTGAAATTATTCTGTTTAATTTCAACAGTACCTTCTATGATTTCAAAAACCAAAAGGTTGACTATTTCAGTATGGTGCTATGTAAGATTTGATTTTTCTGTTACCAGGGCAGGAATTGAAATAGAATTTTTTCTCTGCATGCATAGTGTGCATGTTGAGTTTGAAATTTACCTGCACTAACTTGTGAAATGCACCATTTTTAAAGTTTAAATAAAATGTATGGGTTCTAGATTGATGCGACCACGAAAGAATTTGATTTTTTTTGGTTGTCTCACAATGTTGGTTGAACTTAATTTAGGCTTAGTGAATATGAGAAAATGTGTTAATTTCTACATGCACAGCGTGCACATTACGGTATATTTTGAGTTTACTTGCATGAGCTAATAATCTATGTGCATAGTGCAGTTTGCATCAAGGTATTTCGATCCCTGCAGGGTAACGTAATGATCATAGAATAAGCAATGCCCTGTGGACTAAATTATGGTAGTTCCATTACAAACATTACGGTACTTTTATTAAGGTGACAATTGGACGGATTTTTTTTTTTTTATTGTGTTCAGCTATGTCTGCCCTGTATAAAATAATTAATTCTTGTGTAAATAAAAACAAAACAATGGTTTTAAATGAAGAATCTAAATATGGTCAACCAATTTATTTACCGGTAATACATTGATTCTAACTCAAATCCCCAGTATGTGGTGGGTTTATTTTCACCACTGGTGTCGCGTTCTCGTTTCACAAATGAAGAAAATGATGATGCACAGTTACCAATGAAGTAATCTGATTGGCCCAAAATTGCCAGGTCAATCTGTGGTAAGATGGGATTCAAATAGTGAACATTTACCTGTAGGAGAATGAAAAAAAAAAACTGTCCAGATTTTCATTGAATTTATCACAAATTTTCTGCAGCAGAATTGATAACAGGTTAAGAGTGAATAAATCTACCTCGCTGTTTTTTGATACCAGGGTAATTAGAAAGTATTCTTGGTTATCAGTATTATCAATATGATGTATAGTCTGTATTTTATTATTACGTACATTTTTTTTAACTACTGCCACATTTGGGGCTATTGTGATTACCAAAACTTAAAAAAAATAAAGCATATGAAAAATAAATACATATTACAAAAACAATGAAAAAAGCCAAATTAGGATCTTATTTTAATCAGATTGGGTCAATAACAAAGACACTGATTGTCTCAAGTATTGGTCATGATTGACTTTTTTATCATAATATGTGCAACTGTACGAGCAAAGCAATGAAGTAGAAAGTCAAGATTTACTTTAGTGACAAAGAGCATATTTCACTTCCCATAACGCATACTCCATAACGAACACTCAATTTGAGAACCGCTTACTGTCTTTGATAAAATTTAATTCTCTGATTTACTAACCCAAATTAGAGCATAAGCGAGCCAATCTTAAATATTCTCAAATTGCTTGCTTGCAAAGTGCTGTGTAAATTTAAATGTGTACTGTAAAATGACTAATTTTCACTGGGTTTAAATTTCACTGATTTACCATTTTAGGCATATTCAGTGGGTTCACGGTTTTATCATTTAGATAATGTGTTCTATGCTCAATTTTACATATTCACTGGGTTTTAATTTAGTGCATTTTCCTGTAAGCACAATAAGCAAAATTAAAACCCGCTTTATAGTATACAAATGTACATATCTCAAGAAGCCATTTCTTTGATATACTGGTATCTCACCCCTTAGAATAAGTTTGATGAATGCGTGTCAATGGAAATTCAGTAGATACTGTACATAAGTTTGCATCATGTGATAGTTACCATGGTAGCGATATTTGCATACCATCATGCTATTGGTTGATCTATACGTACCCCAATTGGTTGCAAATAATTCTCCAAATCCTCTTTCAAAGGATCATGATCTGTTGCTATGTAAACATGCTTAGCATCAATTACCATGACAACCATTTTAGTTGTTTCTAGTATTGTCTGAGTTGAAGGGTAACACATCACACTGGTTAGTAACTGTCCTTTTGATAGACACTGAGAAGATGCCATGAAATTTGCACGTCCTTCACCCCACACACAGCCTTTCTCCTGAAAATGTTAATTTATACAAAAATTGTTAAAATGTAAATAAAGCTTTATTTTTGCTCATAAGCAGTGTAATTTACCTTTTTAACAGTTTTAGCTGAAATCAAATGCTGAGCACATATCTGCAATGTATTGTGGGAGAGATGTTTTCATTGTAGATAATTTAAAACTATTATCATACTGAATACTCACTTAATCAAATTAAATGTTTTAACTTTATCAGATTTCACATCAATATTAAGATTTGGATTTTTCACAAGCAAAATTTTGAGACATTCTCAAATAATTAACCAAAGAAACCGGTGCAAAAATAAAACTTTCCTATGCATTTTGGATTCTTGATTCTCAGTTAATTGTCTGGTGCCCCCCCCTGTTTTTATTCTCAGTTTTCTGACAGAAATAT